AGTAAACAATTTAATAATGCAATTGAAAAACAGATAATTGATATGACAACTAAAAACAACTAATAATAAAATTAATGCCGCGATTTCAATATTCATAAGGATTCATTTTAGGTGTCGTCAATACGTCAGTTTTGTGTTTAAATGCTGAAAATAGGTAAGTATTTTGTATGTTTAGATGCTGAAAATACGTCAGCATTGTACGTATAATTGTCAGCATTGTACGTCAGCATTGTTTTTAAGTAAATGTATGTTTTATAGAACCACATTTTACGTAAAAATACATACGAATTATCATGAGATCACTTAATCTTGTTTTATGCTTTCAAATAATTAGACATGCTAAAACAGAATTTGGTTACAATAAAACATAAGGTTGTAAAAAATAAAAACATTTCATAGGGCCCTAAACATGTAATATTTGTTAAACTTTTAATAAATTGATGTTAAATTGTTTAAGTTTCATGATTTTAATTAATTAGACATGCGGTTTGATTAATAAAATTTAATTTAACCATTAAAAAGGAGTCCAGAAAAAAAAAGGGGAAAAAAAACGAAAGCCCCCAAAGCCATAAACCTAGGGGAAACACTGTTCCTTTTTCCTTTGTTCTAGTTCCTGCTAATCTTTAGTTGCCATAGTTTCTGAGTTGATTATATCATTCTGTTCATTTGTGCATTTACCTTCGTTTTCGTGTGATTACCACAAACAGTTGTGTGTAAGGTGCAGTCACATTAGCTACATTTCTGCAAAATCTTGCTGGCAAAAAGGCATTGTTCATTGACAACAGTGTAGCGATGTATGAAATATCTGTTGGGTATACTTTATCCTTGTAATATGTATATACAACAATTTTGCATTCACTTAAATAATAACCTCTTTGTGAATGTCTTCTGCACAGTTTGACATCTTTAAAATGTCAAATTGTGCATCCCTACAAGCACAGCAAATGTGGAGTGTTTTTAAATTCATTTTAAATCATAACTGCAATTTTTATCAGAAAATCAAAATGAGATTTTTTTCCAGCAAATTGTGCTGCTCTACTTCAGTAGTCAACAGAAAGCACTTTACAAAATCCTCTAACCATAAACTGTGTTTCCATGTAGCTTGCCATTAATATATTGACCTGTAATGGCCATGTGAATTTGTAATTACGCAGAAGTGAAAATAAAGTGGACCCGAAACACTTTACACACACAAAGCACGTACACCAGGCGAGGAGCTCATTTAAAGCGTTCACACACAAGCCTAAATTATTGCAAACAACCCTAAAACTAATCAAGTGTCAGACAGATGCTGACAGAAAAGCGAGCAGGACAGGACTGTTTGTGCACTGTTTATGAAAACACAAATGGCATGAATCTGGTAATGGAGATATGAACCCTTTCAGTTCTTGGACATTCAGACATCTCTGATCTCACACAGCCTCTTCATCAGTGCAGAAACGATGGCAGCAAGACGAGAGTCATTTATATAAGCTAAACAATGAGTAGCCGGCTAGTCAACTGCTCTTCCAGACCAGTAGTTGTGGAAGCCCTACAGCCAGAATTTCCATTTAGACAACCTGCCAAAACGGTTTCCATCGGACCCTCCCAGTTCCTGATTCCATAGTCACTCTTTCTGAAGTACACTGCTGGCTGTTAAAGCCAAGCCCTGCTCCATTATACATTCCTAGGAAGCCCAGGGAAAGAGAGAAAACTCTTATATGCTAGGAACAGATCTGGCTGATTAAGCTTTGTCATACATCCTCAGACCATCCTTTGAATTTTTGAACATATTGTGTTTGACAAACTACAGCTGTATCCTATGATCCTTCCAGGACCCCACTGATTCTATACTTGAGATGCATTTTCAGTAGTTTGGCAAGTACTTTGAGCTCTTCACAGTGAAAAGCTACAGGCCTCTGGTTTTAAAGTAGGCCACACAACCTGACAGCCTTCTGGGAGTTTTTTTAGTTTTGTAGCTAGCCTGTAGAATATCAAATATTTTTTTTCTGATCTTTTTTTTTTTTTTAACACCACAGGTAAAGTGCAAACACAACAGGAATGTACTGCTTTCATAACCAGTGTTCAGTGAAAATAAATAAATAAATAAATAACCCTTTTTACTCTAACATTTCTAGTAAGTTTTACAAACAATTACAAAGAAACAGCAAGCAACACCTTGAATAAAACATGAACATTTGAAGTAGAAAAACATAAATAGTATTTTCTTTTCAAATGTACTTCAATTAACTTTATTTAAAACTTTGAAAAACAGTGTGGAGGACATAACTAGCAATTAGCAATGCTTCTAACGTGACTACTAATCTGCAATGCTACTAATTAAACTATAAGAAATTTAGGTTTTGAATTATAGACATTTCCGGGTTTTCCTGGGACTAGTGTTAATTTTGTCATTTAATTTTTTATTAATTCTTAATCTTAGTCTTTTATATTAGTCTTAGTCTTTGTCCTGTGTCAAATGTACTTTTTAGTTATTATCATATTTAGTCAACCTTGTACTGTGTTTGTTTAGTCAAGTTTAAGTTGACTAGCATTTTAGTCTAGTTTTTGTCATGCTGCATAGTGGTTAAACTGATTTTAAAAAATAGCAATATCTATATCGCTCAAAATTATAATTTCAATGATTGTTTTCATTTGAGAAATTTATTTTTCAGGTATTGCACTTTCACCAATAAGCACTAATCATGTGGACTCATAGACATTGTTTATTTTACCTCATCTAGTGTACAGATTATTATAGGCTATTTATTATTTAAATTAATATCAAAGGTTTAGATAGGCACACTCTCTACATTATGAAAACTGGTAAAAACAAACAAAAATTATTTTAACACTGAAATTCCTAATAGTAATTCCAATAATTCCAAATTG